GCACATGCTCAGCATTTTCGGGTGCCACGCTGCAGGAACACGTCTCCGTATTTCCTACACCGAAAAATTTGAACATATGTTGACGAAATCTGTTGTGCCCTGTCCTTAGTCTGAATATAATAGACTGTCCCTCTCTAGAGAGGCGATGAAGTGAGTCTTGGGAAGAAAATCTGGTGTGGGTATCCAGCCACCTTTCTTGGATACTAGATTGTATTAGTGTTTTCATCTCTAGGTGGGTTAAGTCGCTATTTGGTTGTACCATGTCACTGCCGCTTCTGGCCAATCTGTCCACTATTTCATTGCCTTCCAAGCCACAGTGACCTGGAATCCACTGTAGTACAGATTGTTCTACTGAAGAGCCTAAGTAAATCAGCTGTTACGTCAAGTCTACAAACTGAGTGTCTTTTGGGTTAACAATTGCTTGTAGAACTGACATAGCATCAGTCAGAAAGACCACTCTGCTATATTTGCTGTGCTGTTGTCCATTCAGGAAAGAACATGCCGCTAGAAGTGCTTCTGCCTCTGCTCTGTAATTGGAGGAATATGAACCTGTTGGTACAGCCTGGTTGATTTTAAAACCATTTGGGCATTCTATGTATATTCTTCCTCCTCCGTCTCTTACTGCTCTCTTGGCTGAACCATCTGTATACACTCGAATCCAACTCTGGTGTGGGTAAAGTCTATTGATCTCTCTTTCTGTAGTTGATTTCATATCAGTGCTGCTCATTGATGATTTGGAGGAGACCCCTGTTACAGTGGTTCTGACTGTTGGTAGGCTATCCCTAAGCCAAGCGGGGCAGTCGTAAGGTTTAAGTGGAACATTTGGTATTATGGGAGGGAGTTTAAGGACAGCGAGCTTGGCATTTGCGTTCTTAATAAAGCAAGTTCTCTTTAGTCTAGCCTTCTGGGGTTTCTGCAGTCGGCTGTACATGGGTTGTTCTTGAAAGTGGTGGTATTTGGAGAGCTGGGTGAAGATCTTTGTGTCTCTCCTATCTTCCAGACTATGGAGACCAGTAACTGTTTCCATATCTGATATGGGCGTGGAGCGCATTGCTCCTGTCATAATACGGAGAGCATGGTTTTGGATCTTTGAGACTTTCTGAAAATTTGATTTAGCTGCTGTGCCCCAAGCAGCTATTCCATATTCTAGTGTTGGCCTCACATAGCCTGTATAGGTCCTCTTAAGGACATTGAGGTTTGCCCCCCAGTCTGTTCCAGCTAACTTCCTCATCAGTTGTGTTCTCTTGAGTCCCTTGCTCTGTGTCTTTTCTATCTGTTTTCTCCATGTGAGTCTTGAGTCAAAGGTTACTCCTAAATATGATGGTGAGTCATCATGTATCAGTGCCTGGCTGCCATATCTAAGTAAAACTTTCTGGGGTTTGGTAGAGAGACTGAAAATGGTGTGTGTGGTTTTGGCCCCATTAACAGTCATGTACCAGCTATTGGACCACCTCTCTAGAGTTCCGAGAGATTCTTGAAGCCTTGTCTGTGCTTTTTCAGTGTCCTCCTCTGAACTCAGTAGCGCCAGATCATCGGCATACATAACGGCTTGAACTCCATTACAGAGGGTTGATTTTATGTCGTTAATGTAAACTAGGAAAAGAATTGGGGACAGAACTCCGCCTTGTGGAACTCCATGTGTCATTGAGACTGATCTGCTCCTTGAACCCTGTGTCTTGACTCTTGCAGATCGATTTTCAAGATATTTTACGATCCACCCAAGCATGTGATGGGATATTCCACTTTCAAGTAGCTTTTGTTTCAGCCCATTTTTCCACACTTTGTCGAAGGCCTTTTCCATATCCACCCAAACTGCAATAGTGTGCTTTTTTTCCTGGAATGCATCTTCAATGTGTTGAGCAATAAATGTAATTTGGTCTTCTGTTGATCTACAACGTCGAAAACCTGCCTGTTCCTCCATTAGTTTGAAGTTTTTCTCTAGGAACCAGGTCAGTCGGTTGTTCAATAATCTTTCAAATAGTTTGCACAGACAGCTAGTGAGGCTGATGGGTCTGTAGCTGTCTGCGTTGTTCTTCGGCTTTCCTTGTTTCAGGATTACGAAGATTTCAGACTTCCTCCAGGCTGGAGAAACTATACTAAAAATCCAGCTGGCATTAAAGATGTTTAATAATTTCTTTTTTGGCACTTAGACCCATGTGTAGTAACATATCATTCGTGATTTTATCGGGGCCAGAGGCTTGGTTGGATTTCAGCTGGTTGAGTCCTGTGTTAAGTTCACTCATTGAGAATTTATCTGTCATGATGCTCTCTGCTGGTTTACTCTTGCTGGCCTCCTCGAGTTCTTTTATTCTTTGTACTACCTCATCTCCTCTGGACTTTTTGGGCTTCTCCATTTAGATTCTCCATTTAGAACACTGACTAGTTTCCAGAGTTTGGACCATCTTTTGTCTTGCCAGCTCTTCCTAGTTGCTTGAAGTGTTTCTTTTTTTAGCTTAGCTTCTGCTGCTTTGTAAGCAATGTTGTTTTCTACCGTTGGGTTGATTTCTACTCTATCTCTTGCTTCTGAGAGAGTTTGGTGGAGGTCTTGAATTTGTTGGGACCAAAATGGGATGTAATCTTTCCTTGAACCCCGAGGTATGGTTTCTTTGGCTGCTTTTAATATAGCTTCTGTAAACTCTTTTACTGATTTAGCAACCTGACTTGATTTGCCGTTTACATTTATCGAGTATACATCAGCAAGGTTAGCAAAACTGTTCCAGTCAGCTTTCTTGTAATTCCAACGAGGGGGCGGCATCGAATGAAGGCCTCTCATATTTAGAACAGTAATCAGGATCGGTCGGTGGTTACTACCTGCTAGTTGGCTGAGCACCGTTTTGTGTATGTTGCTTGCCAAGTCTGACGTGGCAAATGTTAAGTCTGGGCGGCTGGTTGAAAGCCATCTCCTGGAGAAAAAAGATGGGGAGTCATCTGGTTTGTTGATTAGCTGGAGTCTGGCATATGTCTGCCAGTCCTCCACTTCTTCTCCTCTCGTTGAGCTGTGAATATCCCCAGCTTGGAGAGCAGCTGTTAAAATCTCCTAGAACGATACAGTTGTCATCTGGGATTCTCATGTTGTATAATGAGAGTTCTTTGCTTGGCGGGCAGTAACAATTGTATAATACAATTTCCTTGCCTGCAATGTTAAGCCTGACACCCATGATCTCAGACTCCTGTTTTGTGTCCACTGTAAGACTAGCTGCTGGGATGCTGTTTTTTACTAGGATGAGGACTCCTCCCTTGGGACCATTTTCTCTGTCCTGTCTGAAGCACTGGAAGCTTCTAATACAGAATCTGTGCTTTTTTGACAGGTGTGTCTCCTGTATACAGGCAATATCAATATTTCCTTCTGTAAGTTGTTTTGTGAGTGCAGCTTTTTTGTTGCGGACTCCCTCTGCATTCCATTGTAGAATCCTCAGAACGCACACGTCTTCTTCGTCCATCTTGTCCCTCTGATAGATTTATAATCTAGGCTGTTTTTCTAGCTTTGCGAGTGGTGACGTTGTACAGTTGCCACTTTTAAGGTAGGGCTCACCGTGATATGGTTTCACTGAAGTGTTAAAGATTAAACACCACAGTCTTCATTCCTGCTAGGGTTTTCTGACATTCAAGAAGGTATGCATGACGTCATATTTGTGGGAAAATATTCTCCCACACTATCTGTGCCTTTCGACCTGGCGTCTCCGTCTTCAACGTGCTTTTCTTTTAGGATGTGCTTCCTTAGCCCGTAACCAACCAAGGCCTGACCACCAGGCAGTGGTAGTTTGGTTTCAGAGTATCCTTCTCATAGGTGGGCCGCTGTCCCCAGCTATCGAGTCCCACCTACCCGGGGAAAATACCTAAAAAAAATTTGAACGGCATCCTGTGTTTGCGTGGCAGCGCTTCACCAGTCCGGTTGTATGCCACCGTGTGTACGCCCACAGGACAATTACTGTCTAAAATGCCATAAATCCATGAGGCCAGGTGAAACACAATCGGGCCTGTTTGTGCCCCGTTGGCAACAGAGGCTTCCGTTGCAGAAAACCTATTCCAGGTTCTAATTCTCAGACACAAGACAAATGGGGCAGACTGATAAACAGGACTTTAATGTGGGACAGGCAGATATAGGATAGTCAGATATGGAACATGCAGATATGAGACAGACAGATATGAGACAGATTGAAATATAGTGCACAGAGATATGAAACAGACAGATATGAGACAAACAGACATGGCCATGACCATTGAGTTCACTGTACGTGTCGGTTCCTCCCTGCCAAAAAAGGGGTTGACACATTCCATTTCTGGAGCCAGCTTTTATTAAGTTTGCTCTCCAGACTGTTGCAGTCTCCCGCTGACCAGATTCTGTCTTCCCAGATAGTGGGCCGCCATGATCAAACACTGTGAAGGTGGCAAGGTCAGGGCGGCCAAAACTTTAAGTCATTATCCTGCCCCGACAGTGCACAACCACAATACAGGCTGCTCCCATGAAAAACACATAGTATCCTACCTTGGAAATGCGCATAAAATAGCAGTCCATAATAAGGGAACAGAACAATCCAAGAAAAATCACAATCATCAAAAAATAACATAGATGCTATTCACTATTTTGAAAATGGAGGTCAGACAGATATGAGATGGACTGAGATATGGGGCAGATAGATATGAAACAGACAGATAGGGGATACTAAGATATAGGATACCAAGATTTGGGACAGACAGATTTGAGACAGACAGATACTGGGCAGACGGAAATGACAGAGTAAGATATGGACACAAATATGAAAGACAAATATGGGGCCGATATGAATATGAGAAAAAGATATGGGGCAGACTTGGTTATGAAACAGACAGTCAGTCAGGCTTAGTGAGGTATAAGACTTACTGAGATATGTCACAGACAGAGGTATGATACAGACTTAGTGAGTTATGAGACAGACTTAGTGAAATATAAGACAAAGATAAAACTAAGACTCATTGAGTATGATACAGACTTACATACATTAGAACAGAGACAGACTTACTGAGGTATGAGATAGACATCATCTTCTGTCAGATAAAAGTTCTTGACCCACGGAGCATAGACCTGTGAATGTTAGATTAGTATTTATTCTGATGATACCCAAGATCTCTGTCCGATGTATGCTTATCATCAAGCCAAAGAGTTCCCCCCCCCCACCCCACACTCTCTTTCCAATCCCACTATCACCTGATGGGATGTCTAGGACAGTATGTCATCTGACCCTAAGGGAATGTCAAGATCGTTCTAAAACAGACCTCACCCTAGTGGGATGTCAAGATTATTCTAGAACAGACCTCACCCTAGTGGAATATCAAGATCATTCTAGAACAGACCTCACCCTAGTGGGATGTCAAGATTATTCTAGAACAGACCTCACCCTAGTGGGATGTCAAGATTATTCTAGAACAGACCTCACCCTAGTGGGATATCAAGATCGTTCTAGAACAGACCTCACCCTAGTGGGATGTCAAGATTATTCTAGAACAGACCTCACCCTAGTGGGATGTCAAGATTATTCTAGAACAAACCTCACCCTAGTGGGATGTCAAGATTATTCTACAACAGACCTCACCCTAGTGGGATGTCAAGATTATTCTAGAACAGACCTCACCCTAGTGGAATGTCAAGATCGTTCTAGAACAAACCTCACCCTAGTGAGATGTCAAGATTATTCTAGAACAGACCTCACCCAGTGGGATGTCAAGATTATTGTAGAACAGACCTTACCCTAGTGGGATGTCAAGATTATTCTAGAACAGACCTCACCCTAGTGGGATGTCAAGATTATTCTACAATAGACCTCACCCTAGTGGGATGTCAAAATTATTCTAGAACAGACCTCACCCTAGTGGGATGTCAAAATTATTCTAGAACAGACCTCACCCTAGTGGGATGACAAGATTATTCTAGAACAGACCTCACCCTAGTTGGATGTCAAGATTATTCTACAACAGACCTCACCCTAGTGGGATGTCAAGATTATTGTAGAACAGACCTGACCCTAGTGGGACGTCAAAATCATTCTAGAACAATATGCCCACCTCTTATCCTAGTGGCATGTCAAGCCTAGGATCTGACCCAGTGCCTCCAAATTCCTGGTTTGAAAAAATAAAAAGTTCCATGGCTTCCCATATGTTACTTCGGCCCATAAGGAAAGCTAAGAATACTAACAATGTAGTCTACCATGCATGGCATAAGAGGCAATTAACTCTTTGAGTCCCAGGGGGTTTAGCATCAAAGCCCAGGGGGTAGTAAGAAAAGTAATAAAATCGGCGCATCGTGCGTTCATTGGGCTTCTAGGTAGGAACCTATGAACGTATGATGCATTCTGTGGGAGTTAAGCCTTGTAGAAAACCAAAGCTGAACATTTAATTCAATCATGGCTGAGTCTACAGATAATTTGATCCCGACTTGTCAACTGAGAGCTGACATGCAAAGTGAAAGAGCTGAAATATCACTGATGTGGTGAAGATGGCTTGGACATTGTTTTCATTTTTGTAGAATGCCCCGAGACACTTGGACAGCACATGAAACAATAGAGATGTGGACAACCTAGGGAAACCTTGAGAGAGAAAGTAGAAAGAGAAATGGAGAGATGTAAACTGACATAGGATACCATGGGCAGAACAGCAGCAGACAGGCAGTAGTAGAAATCACTTGTGATTGCCTTATGCGTCAACAACAACATGAAGAGCAAACATGTATATCATTAATATGAAAAGTTGAATCCAGTTGAGCTGACTCAAGAACCGACACAACAGCACTCGGGACCCTCCAAAAAGTGCTTCATCCCCATCTTCAGCAGCAAGCGCAGAGTTCCAATGCTAATGGTGCCAGTAGCATTCTGATTAAACGTCCGTCCTGCCCCTCCTCTAAGTGCTGGCCATCGACCAGAACCCCTCGTCACTCACCGCTGCATCATTCTCAACAGACTGTTGATCAATTTGCTACTTCAAATTGTACACGCTCTCGGCCCTAACCACGTCTGCTTTATTATGCATTAATATTCTACTAATTTGTGCCGACCTGGCCAATCTGTCCCCCTGTTCATTTCCCATCACACCGGCACGACCAGAGAATTTTTTTTTAAATCCAGACAATGCTCCTCACTATGTGAAAACTGTATGCAGCCAAGATGTCTGGAATTCAAGAGATGTCTAGATAAGTATGCCTCTTCTCTTTTAAGCCTCTCTGTGTAATAAGTTTGTGGGTAAAAGTAACTGATATCAGAGGTAAAGATAGTCCCATGCTCAGTCCTCCTCTGTCCTATATCGCCCACACAGATCCTCAACCAACCCATACCAAGCTTTTCTATTCTTTGTTTTTACATTCATAAGATTAAACCCCATGTCATCTTTTTAACTTCACTCTAGTGCCCACTTGTTTTTTTTTTTCTGGTCTGCCTTTATTTCAATAACCCTGTGGGTTCCAATATAAAGACATTCTAGTACTATCCGGTTTTTGCAAAAATTTGTCTCTTTCTAACAACAGAATCTTTTCCTAACCTCTGATTCACTGCAGTTTAGTTCTCTGCCAATTTAGTCCCATAATATGTTAGGTAATTGTTTCTAATGTACATAAGGACTAACAAACTTCTGTAAGGGTCACACCAAGGACTAAATGTTCCCTAGCATGAAGATGAAGTTATAAATGTCCTATTTATCTTCTTCTTCTTCATGTTCACTCCAGCAAAAGCTCTTGTTTGTTCGTCTACTTCTGGACTCTAGTCCTGTTCCAGAAACTGAGCGTTGCATGCACATCCATTCCACAGGCTTGACTCATTTGCATGCAGACTGTTGGTTCCTTGCCTCTCAGGCAGATGGACTCTGACTTTGAAAGAAAGTCCTATTTAGTCTACTCTTACGACATGCTTTTGGGCAGGCAGTGGGTCTATTCTTGTTTTTCCCATAATGGGGCCCCGGAACCCACATGGGTTGCCCTATTCATAAAATGAAAGGCAGGAAAATTTCCTTATCACTAACATAAAGGTCCAACAAATATCCCTACTGTTAATACAAATGACTGAAAAATGTCCCTACTGCTAATTCAAATGGCTGAAAAATGTCCCTACTGCTAAAATAAACGTCTGAAAAATGTCCCAAATGCTCAATAAAATGTCTCTACAGCTAAAACAAAAGGGTGATAAATGTCCCTATGACCAACATAAATGGCCGATAAATGTCCCCATAAATACATACCGACACCAACTGTCCTCTCACAGGATACACAGAAGAGTCATTAACAAGCTCTCTAGAACCCAGACCGCTGCAGTTAATGACCAGGTCAAATTCCCCGTACAGCTGAAATTATCAGAGTTAAAATCTGTAGATCATTTATAGAGGGAATGAGAAGATACTGAAGTCTGTGTGACCGCTACTACTAATTCTTCTGCCTTCATCCGCCAGCATCATCAAGTGCCTTGCCAGGCGTCGTGAGCGCTCATGCCTCTCCACAATCTGCATTCTCAAACAGCACGCATCAGCTCACATCTAGAATCTTCTTACGCTGTCTCCATCTCTCTTTCCAGTGGTCACAAGATATTCCAGTTTCTTTCTTCTCATAGCATGACCACAAAATAGGTAATCTATAGGCAAAAAAACATAAAAATTTATAAGGGGAATGAACTACAGAATAAAGACATGAATTTAAATTGAAACAACAGGGACAGGGGATAAACATGGACTCTGATGAGTGCACAATCATAACATAGATGAGATGCTTTAGAAGAGCTGCTGGAATAACAAGAAGACGTAACATTAAAACTGAAGAGATTAGAATACTGAGACTGAAACCGACCATACAGTTAATTAAAGAACAACAGATGAGATGGTTTGGTCATCTGGCGAGAATGCCCTCGTACCAACCACCTTAGAGAACAACAATGAAGAATCTTGAATTAAGAATCCACATCACAGCACTCAGGACACTCCCATAAGTGCTGCGTCCCCATCTTCAGCACCAAGCAAAGAGTTCCATTTCCGATGGTACCAGTAACTGTCTGACTGTATATCTGTCTCGCCTTTCCCTTGAGTATTGAGCGTCGACCAGATTCCCTGGTAACTTCTCTAAGCGCCATTCTCCTCTGACCGTAATGATCTATTTTGCCTCTGCACTTTTCACTCGCTTTCCCTTGGGTGTTGAGCATCGACCAGATCCCCTGGTAACTCCTTGCAGTGCCATTCTCCTCATTCCATAATGATCTATCTGTGCCTCCTCACTGTTCATTCGCTCCCAAAGGGCCTTTACAACATCCAGCTTGTAATACATTATTTCACCACCAAGTGGTGCAGAACCGGCCAGTCTATCAACAGTGAAGAAATATAATGGACACAGAACAAGGGTAACTGGAAACATCCTAGACAGTTCAGGTGACTGGCATGAGACCATATCATCCAGTGAGTGCCAGCTGGCCCATAAAAAGTGAGTTTAGCATCAAATGTCAAATGTGCCACTGGCTTAAAAAAGAGTCATTTCACTTTAACATAACTGAAAAAGTAAAACATAACTGAACCAAATCATAACATAACTGAGCAAAAGCATTACATAAATAAATAAAGGTAAACAAACCTAAATAAAAGCTTAACTGAATGAAATTAAAACAACTGCATAAAAGCATAACATGACTGAATAAAAGCATAATATAACTGAATAAAAGCATAACATAACAATAGCATAACATAACTGAAGAAAATCATAAAATGAAATGAAACAACTGAATAAAATAACTGCAGAAAAGCATAACATAACTAAATAAAAAGTATAACATAACTAAATAAAAAGTATAACATAACTAAATAAAAAGTATAACATAACTAAATAAAAAGTATAACATAACTAAATAAAAAGTATAACATAACTAAATAAAAAGTATAACATAACTAAATAAAAAGTATAACATAACTAAATAAAAAGTATAACATAACTAAATAAAAAGTATAACATAACTAAATAAAAAGTATAACATAACTAAATAAAAAGTATAACATAACTAAATAAAAAGTATAACATAACTAAATAAAAAAAGTATAACATAACTAAACAAAAAGTATAACATAACTAAATAAAAAGTATAACATAACTTAATAAAAAGTATAACATAACTAAATAAAAGTGTGGGTGGTGTAGGATTGGGGAAGGGGGTGAAGGGGGGGGGTCTTGAGCCAAAAGATTTAGGGCCATATGGCTAGTCCAGCTGCCACAAACTGCAAGTTTGAATTTTATTATTTCCCGTGACAGAACAAATCCATCACTTTCCTGAGGTTTTCACTTTACCAAAGTTTGAACCTGAGTCTCCCGCAAGAGTACACCAATTTGAACCACTCTATCAACCGCTGCTCAGAGAGCTTTTCTATAAATAAAAGCATGATTGAAAAAATACTGAATTAAAACAAAAAGATTACAAGAATTTGGGGGGGGGGGGGTGGAGGGGGAGTATTTCAACTGCACATGTTACTGGCCAGTTATCAGATTTGTTGTGCTCATGACTGTCACAAAATTAACATTTACAAAACTGAATCAAAGTGCCTCACCTCTGACAGGCTCTTCACAGTCTTATGCTGTGTTGTACCTCCATTTTCTTGAAACCTGGCAGAAAATACAGGACATAAATCTAGAACACTGCAATAATTATCACTGTGTGGGTTTCAAGGTCGGAGTGGGACAGGGAGGGATAGACTCCTTGCTTCTTAACAAACATGTTAGCAGGAACCAATCAGGCGCTTACTGAAATCACTTGTGTCTGAATAGAAGTCCCAACAGTGCTTCTAACTCTTTAGCGCTGCAAAAGCATTTTTTAAATGGGTCATGAAACCATGTGAATTTCCGGGGAGGGGGGGGGAGTTACATGGTATACTAATGAATTTTTGAATTTATGTTATTTATCTACAATTTTTTTTAACAATTTTGAGTTATCCAAAGATATGCCTGGCGCTCCAGGGTAGTTGATAGCGAGCTGGACATCAGGTGACAATCCCTTTGCGTGTCTGATTTCAGTTACACGCGGGTGGATAGCAGAAAAGATTAATGGTGTACGTGGCACAGAGGCTAAAAAGATTTGATGCTCATGACATTGAGCCAAATGAGCCATACTCAAGTGCTTCTGGTTTTTGAAAAACAAAAATATATAGATATATATATATATTAGCTGTACCCGGCCACGCGTTGCTGTTGCATAGTTTGGCTAAATGGAAATAAAAGAAAATAGAAATCGCACGTGTCTTATACAATCATTGTCTGCTCAGATATAGAGATAGTCTTTGATCCCCACCCACCCCCTTCCCCCCCCCCCCCAACTAAATCCACCTACTACCCTCTCCCTCATCAAAGGTTTTTGGAAAAGAAAGACAATGGAAATCGCACCTGTCTAATATAGTTAATGTTGCAATCATTCTCTGCACATTTATATAGAGATAGTCTGGTTTTCCAACTTTAGAACACGCACCATATAATTGTGTCTTTATATTAGTGGTCGTTTAAATGGTGCTATTAGCACAGTAACAAAAGTGGTTATTTGGTTATCACATGCTAAAGCTGTTTGTATTTTTATAGGAGACGTAAGTAAAGCTACTACTGTACTTGTAAATAACAAAGTAAGTCGTACAAAAATTAGAATAGTGAAGGTAGCGTTAGTAAAATATAAACAATTTTAAGTAAGTAATGAGAACTTAAAAATCATAAGCTCTGTGTAAAGCTCTTCAAGTTCTCTTAAATTTCAGTCATTACCCTCTCCCCTCCCCTCTTCCACCGACTACTGCTCTCTCCCTCTTCGAAGGATTGAAAAATCATCACCTGGCGATATTCTTTTTGTTGTAACTGACACTGACATCCCTGTCCATCCGTACTAAATTGGGAGCAGGAATTGTAATATGTAGTTCTTCTTCTTCTTCGCGTTCACCAGCTGTATACTCTGGCGGAAAGTTCTGGTTGCTCGTCCAGTACTGAACTGCAGTCCTGCTCCAGAACCTGAGTGTTGCGTGTGCATCAGTTTTACAGATCTCATTCTCTTGAATACAGACTGTTGGTTCCTTGCCTCTCCGGCAGATGCACTCCGACCTCAAAGGTAGCTCCCCAATTAGTCGACTCTTACGACATGCTTTTAGGGAGGCAGTGGGTCCATTCTTGTTTTCCCCACAATGGGGCCCCGGAACTCACACAGGGGAAATAATAGGTAGTGAATGGGGCTAATGTAATATTTACAGCATCATCCTTCAGGTACCAGTACAACTACTACCACGACCACCACCACAGTAGCTAAAATAATGTCATTGCTATCTGTTTTACCATCGGAGTAGACAGGGAGTCGTGAGCCAGAAGATTTGGCGGTGCATGGCTAGTGCTGTCGCCACGGTCTGGTCAGGTTAGGATGTATGATTTCGCTCCCCAACAGAAGAATGCCATAACCTTACCGGCGGTCTTCACATGAGAGCACTACGGTGTAGCCGCCCAACCACAACTACTACTGCTGCTGCTACTTTGAGTGGGTAAAGCAGTTACTGTGACTTAAAGCTCTCTCAGTAATCAGTTCTTCCCCCCCCCCAAATTCACCGACTACTCTTTCCCTCATCGAAGCAGTTGAGAGGGGAAAAAAACCAATTGAAAAGTAATTAAAACAAGAAAAATACACCAGAATTAGGAAATGAACGCTATGGTAAACAGCACAGCTTAAAATTCCAACGCAGATGAAATAATTAAATCTAAATGAAAATAAATGGAAAGCTATGAAATTTCAGCGTAACCATGCAATCGAAAAGTTTAAAATGAAATCATAAGTATGTGAAATGGTCAAATTTAATTATCAACTGGTTTACCCACAAACCTGTCCTTGTTTTTTTTTGTTTTTTAAAATTTATATGATTAAGGGCCATATGGCTAGTGCTGTCGCCACGACAGTGCAGGTGAGGATTTTATTTTGGCCCTCAGTAAAAAAAAAAAAAAAAACTACTGCGGATTCGAACCCTGGTCTCCCTCTCAAGAGCCGAGTGTTCTAACCATTCGACCAAGCAACCACTCGATCGGAATAACGAAAAGAGAACATAACTATTTTAGATGTGTGTCCCTACTGCAGTGTCCCGATTATAACACAACTCAAAACAGCAGGCGATTGTTTTCTCATTGACAGATATTCCAAATATATTAATGAAACGGCACAACAAAAGAAATCGCACGTGTCTAACACGGTTAATGTCGCAGTCAATGTCTGCGCAGACGTCGAGATAGTCCCTGATCCCCCCCCCCCCTCTTTTTCCCTACCAATCCATCGGCTACTTTTCAACTCACCAAAGGATGTTTGAAAAAAAAAAACAGAAAATAGAAATCGTGTCTAATATAGTTATTGTGGCAATCACTGCCTGCACAGATATAGATACAGTCTTGTTTGCTGTACCACGACCTACTCTATGTATTAGAGGAGGTGTTGGCTGCACTTCGCATGCGCAATTACTAATGTGGCTATAATTAGAAATCACTAAAATTATAAATATTAGTTTCGAATATTATGGCTTAAATTGTGGTCACCTATCTCTAACAGTGACAGGTTGAATTTCAAACCATGATGGTTCAACATCCGGTATCAAAACAAACATATCCTGAAAATTTCAGCTAAATCGGTTCAGTAGTTTCCGAGTCTATAGGGGGCACACAAACATTGATTTTTATATATATAGATATATATATATATATATATATATATATATATATATATATATATACAGGTTGTAATCAATAAACATGAAGCGTTCAATGGAATACATTTCCTGGGACTTCATAAATATGTCAGGTGACTCACCTCTGGCCCTGTAAACTCAAGACACCAGACAATTGTGATGTCACAAAGGCTTTAACAAAGCTATTTGGTTCACAAGGAACCCCCTCCCCCCCCCAACCTCAATTCCTCCCCCCCCCCCCCCATTTTTTTTTTAGTAGGTATATTGCAAACACTGAGCAGATGCAAATACAACCAATGTCATCTAACTACACTTTCCAACATGGGTTTGCTCCCTGGCAGAGCCGGACTTTTTTAAAAAATGACCTTGGTTCCCAGGTCGACCCAGCCTTGAGTGGGTACTGGGTGCAGCCCGGGAAGTGAAGGCGGCCGGCGTGATGCTGACCACATTACCGATCTTGTGCCAATTGGTCTATAAAAAATCAGTCTAGCCCTATATGCCCTATACGCCTAATGGCGGGGAAAAGGGTCCTTTACTATTTACTTTTTTTTTCAATGCGTAAATGCCGATACAATTTACAGGGACTGTCACAACAAGAAGAAGTTACAAAATTCAGGCTTCTCAGGTCGTTAGGTTTAAAGATGAGCAGAAGAAGAACCACTAAGTCTGTTTATAAGCGGATAGTCCATCTCAGGTTTTCAACTGGAAGAGTAAGCCAGTATCGTGTTCAACCTCCCTGGTTGCCTTTTACAACATGTCAGGTAGGTTGCAATGTTTGTTATTCTTTGGTTCTCTTGTGGCATGGTGTACAATCATACAATTGCTGACACCACCGGAATTAGAACTCTTTGCCTGCTGCTGAAGAAGGGAACTGAGCTTATGGGAGTGTCTATATCGATTCTTATAATTCAACATGGCAGGAGTTGGAAACAATAAATCCTCTAGAGGATTGCAGGTCACACCAGGCTGGTGTTACTGTTACAGGTGCCTCATGGATTGAGGCTGAACAAGGTATCTGTTATCACAATCAACAACACTGTACATTTCCATATGTGCTCAGTCCTCCAAGGCATCTCTTCCATAAGCAGCTGGTAATAGTGTTTCTGTTTTAGCCTCAAAGAGAGCACAAATATGCTTCATCAAGTTTGACTTGCAGGTCAGACAACCGTGTTCACGCCAGAGACTCACTGGTGCATTACTTGTCCATGTTCTGTCTAGTACACACTGGTGCATTACTTGTCCATGTTCTGTCTAGTACAGACTGGTTCATTACTTGTCCATGTTCTGTCTAGTACAGACTGGTTCATTACTTGTCCATGTTCTGTCTAGTACAGACTGGTTCATTACTTGTCCATGTTCTGTCTAGTACAGACTGGTTCATTACTTGTCCATGTTCTGTCTAGTACAGACTGGTTCATTACTTGTCCATGTTCCCTCCAGTACACACTGGTGCATTACTTGTCCATGTTCTGTCTAGTACAGACTGGTTCATTACTTATCCATGTTCCCTCCAGTACACACTGGTGCATTAATTGTCCATGTTCTGTCTAGTACAGACTGGTTCATTACTTGTCCATGTTCCCTCCAGTACACACTGGTGCATTACTTGTCCATGTTCCCTCTAGTACACACTGGTGCATTACTTGTCCATGTTCCCTCTAGTACAGACTGGTTCATTACTTGTCCATGTTCCCTCCAGTACACACTGGTGCATTACTTGTCCATGTTCCCTCTAGTACACACTGGTGCATTACTTGTCCATGTTCCCTCCAGTACACACTGGTGCATTACTTGTCCATATTCCCTCCAGTACACACTGGTGCATTACTTGTCCATGTTCCATCCAGTACCCACTGGTGCATTACTTGTCCATGTTCCCTCCAGTACCCACTGGTGCATTACTTGTCCATGTTCCCTCCAGTACACACTTGTGCATTACTTGTCCATGTTCCATCCAGTACACACTTGTGCATTACTTGTCCATGTTCCATCCAGTACACACTGGTGCATTACTTGTCCATATTCCCTCCAGTACCCACTGGTGCATTACTTGTCCATGTTCCCTCCAGTACCCACTGGTGCATTACTTGTCCATATTCCCTCCAGTACCCACTGGTGCATTACTTGTCCATGTTCCATCCAGTACACACTGGTGCATTACTTGTCCATATTCCCTCCAGTACACACTGGTGCATTACTTGTCCATATTCCCTCCAGTACACACTGGTGCATTACTTGTCCATATTCCCTCCAGTACACACTGGTGCATTACTTGTCCATATTCCCTCCAGTACACACTGGTGCATTACTTGTCCATATTCCCTCCAGTACACACTGGTGCATTACTTGTCCATGTTCCATCCAGTACACACTGGTGCATTACTTGTCCATATTCCCTCCAGTACACACTGGTGCATTACTTGTCCATGTTCCATCCAGTACACACTGGTGCATTACTTGTCCATGTTCCCTCCAGTACACACTTGTGCATTACTTGTCCATGTTCCATCCAGTACACACTGGTGCATTACTTGTCCATGTTCCATCCAGTACACACTGGTGCATTACTTGTCCATATTCCCTCCAGTACACACTGGTGCATTACTTGTCCATGTTCCATCCAGTACACACTGGTGCATTACTTGTCCATGTTCCATCCAGTACACACTGGTGAATTACTTGTCCATATTCCCTCCAGTACACACTGGTGCATTACTTGTCCAGTTCCCTCCAGTACCCACTGGTGCATTACTTGTCCATATTCCCTCCAGTACCCACTGGTGCATTACTTGTCCATATTCCCTCCAGTACACACTTGTGCATTACTTGCCCATATTCCCTCCAGTACCCACTGGTGCATTACTTGTCCATGTTCCATCCAGTACACACTGGTGCATTACTTGTCCATGTTCCATCCAGTACCCACTGGTGCATTACTTGTCCATATTCCCTCCAGTACCCACTGGTGCATTACTTGTCCATGTTCCCTCCAGTACACACTGGTACATTACTTGTCCATGTTCCCTCCAGTACCCACTGGTGCATTACTTGTCCATGTTCCATCCAGTACACACTGGTGCATTACTTGTCCATGTTCCATCCAGTACACACTGGTGCATTACTTGTCCATATTCCCTCCAGTACACACTGGTGCATTACTTGTCCATGTTCCATCCAGTACCCACTGGTGCATTACTTGTCCATGTTCCATCCAGTACACACTGGTGCATTACTTGTCCATGTTCCATCCAGTACACACTTGTGCATTACTTGTCCATGTTCCATCCAGTACACACTGGTGCATTACTTATCCATGTTCCCTCCAGTACACACTGGTGCATTACTTGTCCATGTTCCATCCAGTACACACTTGTGCATTACTTGTCCATGTTCCATCCAGTACACACTGGTGCATTACTTATCCATGTTTCATCCAGTACCCACTGGTGCATTACTTGTCCATATTCCCTCCAGTACACACTGGTGCATTACTTGTCCATATTCCCTCCAGTACACACTGGTGCATTACTTGTCCATATTCCCTCCAGTACACACTGGTGCATTACTTGTCCATATTCCCTCCAGTACACACTGGTGCATTACTTGTCCATATTCCCTCCAGTACACACTGGTGCATTACTTGTCCATGTTCCATCCAGTACACACTGGTGCATTACTTGTCCATATTCCCTCCAGTACACACTGGTGCATTACTTGTCCATGTTCCATCCAGTACACACTGGTGCATTACTTGTCCATGTTCCCTCCAGTACACACTTGTGCATTACTTGTCCATGTTCCATCCAGTACACACTGGTGCATTACTTGTCCATGTTCCATCCAGTACACACTGGTGCATTACTTGTCCATATTCCCTCCAGTACACACTGGTGCATTACTTGTCCATGTTCCATCCAGTACACACTGGTGCATTACTTGTCCATGTTCCATCCAGTACACACTGGTGAATTACTTGTCCATATTCCCTCCAGTACACACTGGTGCATTACTTGTCCATGTTCCCTCCAATACCCACTGGTGCATTACTTGTCCATATTCCCTCCAGTACCCACTGGTGCATTACTTGTCCATATTCCCTCCAGTACACACTTGTGCATTACTTGCCCATATTCCCTCCAGTACCCACTGGTGCATTACTTGTCCATGTTCCATCCAGTACCCACTGGTGCATTACTTGTCCATATTCCCTCCAGTACCCACTGGTGCATTACTTGTCCATGTTCCCTCCAGTACACACTGGTACATTACTTGTCCATGTTCCCTCCAGTACCCACTGGTGCATTACTTGTCCATGTTCCATCCAGTACACACTGGTGCATTACTTGTCCATGTTCCATCCAGTACACACTGGTGCATTACTTGTCCATATTCCCTCCAGTACACACTGGTGCATTACTTGTCCATGTTCCATCCAGTACCCACTGGTGCATTACTTGTCCATGTTCCATCCAGTACACACTGGTGCATTACTTGTCCATGTTCCATCCAGTACACACTTGTGCATTACTTGTCCATGTTCCATCCAGTACACACTGGTGCATTACTTATCCATGTTCCCTCCAGTACACACTGGTGCATTACTTGTCCATGTTCCATCCAGTACACACTTGTGCATTACTTGTCCATGTTCCATCCAGTACACACTGGTGCATTACTTATCCATGTTTCATCCAGTACCCACTGGTGCATTACTTGTCCATGTTTCCTCCAGTACACACTTGTGCATTACTTGTCCATGTTCCCTCCAGTACACACTGGTGCATTACTTGTCCATATTCCGTCCAATTCACACAATGGGACAAATCGATTCATGGATTCAATTAGTCTTTTCTGGTTTCTTTGTTGAACTGCGGCTACTGCCCTCGCTGAAACACAAGTTGCCCCCCCATCATGAAGAGATAAGCTCCAGGAGAGGGAAAAAATAACACATTTATAAACAACTTCAATCAAATGTGGGCCAAATAAACTGGGGATTCAGTTCAGTCTTTACTGGTTTGTCTTTGTTCAATTGCTATGACTGCCTGTGCTACTTTACAAGCCATTGTTACCCAATGAAGTGAAGTAACAGAATGAGCAGTAAGGAGGAAAGGTGAAAAAACATTTACAAACAGTTTCAGTTGATACCTACTTCTTCATCAGCCAAACCAAATATTTCGGTGTCTGTGTTACCACTGTTGTAAATGTGTATCCATACCTGTAAATTATTAAAACTTTCTTAAAACTGAAATCAGTCGATTGTGAAAAGAAAATCTTTATGAAAGAAGGTAGGTATTCTTCTTCATTGATCATGGCAGCTCTTCTTCTTCTCCATACATCATAGGTGTAATGGTGCTAAATTTAGTAAACAGAATAAGGGTCTGATTGGATAGTGGAATTAGGGAAGTATCCAGGTTGCAAGGCACGAGGTTAGCGTGCGAAAGGAAGAACATGAGATATGATTTTGCTTGGGCAACATGAGGCAATGGTAAGAATAACCGGTCATTCTGTGACCGGACTCCTAAGGAAAAGGAGAGAAACTGGTAGTGATAGATTTGAACTAAAATCTGGATTGTCCCCGAATGAACGTTAGTCCTGAACAGTAAGGTGCGAAGCTGTGATTAATTGCAGTTGAAGACAACAGTTGTGTTCTATGGTCTGTTAGTTCTGCCAGTCGTTTACATGCCAGTGTCCATCATCTGAAGCATGGCTGTGGACTTGAGAGTGTGAGCAAGGGGACCTTGTTGCTTGTGTTATATTGATAATAAACTCGTGAACTGCTCAGCCTTTATCAATTGTCATTTGCAGACTCGTGATAGTTGATTGGAAGAGAAGTTTGACCCGTCGGTACTGTTATCTTGCCCCTAGACAACAGAGCTAGTGACGAATCTGTATGAGGGAGACTGGATACAGAAGGGATACGTTACATTGTGTTAACTAGAAAAGGATTAGAACAAGCAATAACAAGTCTATACAAAAATATTCACTGATGCACACAGTTAATTTCTTGGCATGCCTAATCCAGTGCAGGCATCAATGATCAAGCTCTGCAATCATCTCAAATTTTAATGAAGCTCACGTTGCTTATCATTTTCTGTCCTGCCGGCCACATATCCACTTCTGCATTTCTTTGTCTCTCTTATCTAATATTTTCCTACATAAATTAATCTGGTAACCTTAGTTTCAGCTTCATAGCAAATGGGTCACCCCATGGTTGCTCCGCTCCTGTGCCAACACACAGAATGCCATCCCTGTCCCTTGTGGAAAATTCAACGACTGCAGTTTCAGCAAATCCAGAATACACACGCATTAAAAGCATAAATTAATTTTCTGTACTTAGGTTCTTCAGCTTACTCCAATGGGGAGGAACTATGGTTTCATTTGAAAATTTCACAACTGTTTGTAACACTAACTGTTTTTTCCTTTTGCTAAACAGGAAGAGTGGAGATGATGCAATGGGCTGGTTAGATGCTCGCCTGGCAGCCCGAGGATCCTGGGTTCCTTATCAAGGCAGACTTTGGTTGAAATTTACTGTGTGTCTTCTTTTATCATCATCAATAATAGCATTTTGTGTTAGTTTTTTTTTCAATATACAAGCAACTACAAAAGCGAACTGCGTCTCTGGAAATGTGGGTAAACAAAAGCAACAAAATACAAAGGTTACGGATAGTTTGAATAAAAAAGTTGCTGAAAGAAATAAAAAAGGGACAAAGTATTTCAGCCACATCAAAAGACATTCACTTAAAAACCATACTGTAGGGTAAGGTTGAAGGCAGGACAGCAAGAGGTAGACAACGATACAAGTGGGAGAACAATATCAAGAGATGGATGAACAGCAGTCTGAGTGTATCACCAATACAAGAAATAGTAATGGAGATCTATTGCAGTTAATCTTCACTGTGGAGACACCAACTGACTGATTGACTAACATTAATTCTATGTAATGAAAAACATAATGAGTAAATAATTTCCTCTTCAGCATTCCAAGCTCTTGAGGTTCCCTGCTGCAGATATCACCCTCCTCCAATTATCTCTCTAGCTGGCCTTTTCTTTCCAGTTGGTGTCACCAACTGTTTGCTGGTATGTCTGGACATTATCTTTCCACATTCTTCTTAGTCTGCCTAGTGGTCTACGACCATTCATCTCCCTTGTGTATACAGTTTTCACTTCTCTGTCATCTGTCATTCTCTCAGTATGCCCCAATCATTTCATTCTATTAGCTCTCAAGATGCCAGTGATCAATAGTGATTTAAACAGATTATTAATTTCACTTTTGCTTCTCCCTCTCCAATCCCCCATTTTTACAATTTCTCTACAAAGGAAAATTTAGTCTTTGCCCAATAAAAATGATGTTTATGCAAATGCAAATGAAACAAGACAGTCTAACTTAATTCATCTCGATAAAACAGGTTCTTGTCACGGCAAGCAAATTGTCTCCCCCTTGTGGACTCTTGCATGTCCAGGGTGTTATGGTCCACTGTCATGCTGGTCAGTTTCTGCCTTTTTTTCTAGGAATCATATCCTCAATGTTCTCTTCAAAAAATGTTCAATATGCAGTGAAAGAACCATTTTCCACGCCTCTAGGTGTATAGGGCATATAGGGCTAGACCTATTTTTTTTTAGACCAATCGGCACAAGATGGGTGATGTGGTCAGCATCACGCCGGCCGCCTTTACTTCACGGGACTGCACCCGGTACCCACTCAAGGCTGGGTTGACCTAGGAGCCAAAGTAATTTTTTTTTTAAAGTCCGGCTCCTCCAGGGAACGAACCCACGATCTTCTGATCCCAAGGTCGTGACCATGGATTGAGAAGTCTGTACTCATTTTGGTCCATAATTTAAGAATCTTCCTGCAATATTTAAGTTCAAAAGCACTTCTTTTTTTTTTTTTAGTACACGTTTGCAAATTAGCATTACACCCTTTCCTTGACTTGTGACCTATTTATGTGACTTTCAACCTCTGCTCTTACGATCACAACAAAAAATTAAATACATTAAAATAGTAAATAAAGAAAGATGGCTATATTTCTAGGGTCCAAAAGTTCACGGAACTGATGCAATACAGGCCATACATATTTCTCATACTTTGTACAATAATTATAAAAAGATTGCATTTTTGTGCAATTTTCACAATCCGTTATAAATAAGACTGAAAACAAGAATTTGACTCACATCTTAGTCAGAATGAAGCTTGTTCGTAAGAGGAGAAGACTATTAGGATATTATTATGCAACGTTGGTGTTAGAAGGAGGGGGAGGGGGGCTAACCTACACCTTCTTATACATGTCATACAGGGAACTAAGGGTTTGCTGAAATCAGATGTGTTGGGCAAAAAGCCCAGATACTGCAGCCTAGCTGTAAACCACAACACAATATGTCAACTACCTTTTTAAGGGCAAATTGAAAGGAGGAATTTTCTTACTATTATAAAAACACAGTCAAAGTACTTTTGGAAATGTTCTTCTGAGTTCTATGGCTACAGTTTTTAACACAACGCAAGCATTGTCACAACTTAAAAAACATAAATGACTGCTTTAATATATATCAGCAACATATATCAGCAACATATATCAGCAACATATATCAGCAACATATATCAGCAACATATATCTTTTGGTCTACAACACTTATTGTGAATATCTGTAACCATACTTGTAGTTTATATTTAGCTTCTGGAGTTGCTCTGATGGAAGCTCACGGAAATCGTATGTCAGTTTTGCCATGAGTTCATAGTCCCGATCCTAGGGAATAAAAAACATTTAATCTACAAAATTGTATGAGAGTAAGCAAACGTTTCGGATCCATGTTAGGAGACAAATGGTGCAGATTATACTTCTGCTACTTTATCTCACCCTCAACTCCCACCCAAAGGAGCATAGAACCTTTGTCCATCCGTCTATCCGTCTGACTTTCTGTCCGTCAGTCTGTCTGTCCATCAGTCTGTCCATCTGTCAGTCCATCTGTCTATCCATCAGTCTGTATGTCCATCCATCAGTCTGTCCATCTGTCACTCTGTCCATCAGTCTGTATGTCTGTCCATCAGTCTGTCTGTCTGTCCATCAGTCTGTGTCTGTCCATCAGTCTGTGTCTGTTCATCAGTCTGTGTCTGTCCATCAGTCTGTCTGTCTGTCCATGAGTCTGTATGTCCATCAGTATGTCTGTATTTCCATCAGTCTGTCTGTAAGTCCATCAGTCTGTATTTCCATCAGTCTGTCTGTAAGTCCATCAGTCTGTCTGTAAGTCCATCAGTCTGTCTGTATGTCCATCAGTCTGTATGTCTGGCCATCAATCTTTATGTCTGTCCATCAATCTTTATGTCTGTCTATCAGTATGTATGTCTGTCTATCAGTCTGACTGTCCATCAGTCTGTCTGTCCATTAGTTGTGTGTTCATCAGTCTGTCTGTCTGTTCATCAGTCTGTCTGTTTGTTCATCAGTCTGTCTGTCTGTTCATCAGTCTGTATGTCCATCAGTATGTCTGTAAGTCCATCAGTATGTCTGTACGTCCATCAGTCTGTCTGTACGTCCATCACTGTCTGTATGTCCATCACTGTCTGTATGTCCATCAGTCTGTCTGTATGTCCATCAATCTGTATGTCTGTCCATCAGTATGTCTGTATGTCCATCAGTCTGTCTGTATGTCCATCAATCTGTATGTATGTCTATCAGTCTGTATGTCCATCAGTCAGTCTGTCCATCAGTCTGTCTGTCTGTCTGTCTATCAGTCTGTCTGTCTATCAGTCTGTCTGTCCATCAGTCTGTCTGTCCATCTGCCAGTCTGTCCATCTGCCAGTTTGTCCATCTGCCAGTTTGTCCATCTGCCAGTTTGTCCATCTGCCAGTTTGTCCATCTGCCAGTCAGTCATCTATGAATGCATGCATTTACCATACCTGTCATGCTATTGTGTATTTTACTTTATATTCATATACATACTGTTATATGAACTCAACATGCTCTATAGATACAATAAAATTACTAGATGAACGATTATTGTTTGGAAGGGCTCAATCTTAGATAAGCCTGCACACCCAATTTGTGATCCTTTCAAAATAAAGTTTGTTCTGTCACATTATTCAAATTTTTCAATTACTGCATTAATGAGCTCTAGAGAAATGTCCATGCATGTGATAGTTTCAGCTTGTTTATACCAGCACCAGGAGAAAGTTAGTTAATCAAACAATTATCCTGATTGAACATCGAACAATTTCAAAAGCGTTCAGATCCCATCTTGAGAATATCCCTCAGCATGTGGCAACTGATGACACCAGTTCTTTTTTGGTTTACTAATCTTCTTTGGCTACCTGTATAGTGTTCATGTTTGGTGACACCTATTTTGACCTGAAGTTTCTGTAGTCTTTTGACTGCTGCCAATTCAACATCATCTCCTGAATCACCTTCTCATCCTGCCTCCTTGAGAGCATTAAGAAATGTCGGTCCATTGCTTTTCCTGTACCTACGTTGGGCCTGCCAGCAAGCCAATCCACTCATTCCTTCCCTCTTACCCCAGATAGTCCTGGCACAAAAATGAAACTAATTCCTTTCAGACAAGATTTCAAATAGAACCAGTATTAACATATAACGGATTCCTAACCAATTAATAAACAAGCTAAGCAACTTCTTGAGTCCATATATCTGCATAACCAGGGATGTAGCACAACTAGAAGCGACTAGATTTTAACTTCTCGGGCAGCGAACGGGTTAACCTCTAGAAGCGAAGCTCTCTTACCTGAGGAGTGTTATAAAAAACAATTCCCGATACCAGGGTCTGTCCACTTTCTTGAGCGTCTGCAGATATTGCCAGGTTTTTAAAATATGTCCATGAATCAGTTATCCATTGTCTGAAAGTACATTAAACATTTTACAGGTACAACAATGAGTATAAAAGATGTGGCAAAGATATTTTAGTTATTCTTTCATCTACTGTCATCTAGTAATTTCCAGAAAAGTCTGAATAGTGTCATAAACTGGGCCAGCAAATGGGGCCTTAAAGTAAACAAGAACAAACTGTAGCAGCTGTTGCCTACTGAATTCATTGGCTGGTCAATTGTAACAGAGGCGGGATCATATGCGCCTGTCTAGATGATGATAATAGGAATAGTGAAGAGTGCAAACGGTCCATGGTAAACAAGTGGTATTACAATGGGTTGCCATGATACTGCTGGCAGAGTGTTAGTTGTACGATGGGACTGTGTGAACTATCAGTTAAGCACTCTCCGGTAGGGACCCCAACTAGTTGCCAGAAGGTCAACTTGGAAACTTTTGCATATATGGATGAAGCATTAATCATTCACCGCTAGATACTTCCCCGGGAGGCAGTGTCTTACAAGCATTTAGCTTCATAACAGCGGCCAAGTTTCGTATATGGGCATTTCGCTTCCCAACAGCAACACTCTTTCCGCTGTCTACAAGGGAAGAGAAAGTAAAATTTAACAATGATGCTGTTCCTCGCTCCAATACTCCAACCTTCTTGGGAGTCAATCTTGATAGTTGTCCAATGTGGAAACTTCACATACTGGAAACTAACAGAAAAGCCATGAGAAAACAATGTGTGATGAAAAGGGCAGGCACCACTTGGGGAGCGGACAGTCGCATCATGAAGAAGGAATACACTGGCACCGTCAAACCTTCCCTGGAATATGCATCATTACTGTGGATATCAGCAGCACTTTCTAATAAACAGGTACTAGACAAAACACAAAATCGATGTCGGCGTGCAATTCTGGGGAGCCATAAAATCTACAACTATTGTAGAAATGGAAAAGGCAGTCAACATCTACCCCTTAGAATAAAGAATAAAGATGAAAGCAATTCTACATGCTAAAAGTAATTCAGATGATAGGGCAGTACTGCAGTATGTGTTCGGGGGTTTGTCTTTCAGCTCCACAATCACAGGCAGCAGATTCTTTTATGCCTATCCTGTACAAGTGTGCTCGAAGACCACAGTGTCCAGTCCGAAGTCTAAGAATTGATGTTTGTTCTTTCCTGTTGAGTTTGTTTATGCTGTCACTCTCTGGTCTGTAATCTCCATTCTGCCTTCTCCACTCCCGCTTGAAAGACTGCTTTAGCGCTGTTTTGGTTTCCTTGTAGCTGTGTGGTGGATGAGGTTGTGGAAGATTACTCCCAGCTTTTGCCAACTCATCTGCTCTCTCATTTCCTTGAATACCACAGTGGGCTGGTATCCACTGCAAGACCAGTTCTGCTTCCTTGGAGAGTAAGCCAATGTTGGTCCTTAGATCAGCAATTATTTTGTCTTGATTTTTGCTGGATAGTGCTTGGAGAACAGACAATGAGTCACTAAGTATAACAATTTGGTGCCCTCTGTGTTCTTGAGTGATGAGATGTTGGACTGCAGAGAGGAGGGCAGTTGCCTCAGCTCTGAAGTTAGTGCAGATGTCACCTGCTGGTAGAGAGAGAGTTTCTGCTCTACTGCTAGGGGGTTTAATGTAAATTCCACAACCCTCCTTTCTGACTGCATCTGTAGCAGAGCCGTCGGTGAAAACCTGAGTCCAAGTGGTGTTTGGATACTTCTCATCAAGCATAGCAAGAGCCAGGGTTCTCTGTTGTGTCTCCGTCTGGGCATTTTTTGAAGTGATTCCTGGTACCTTTAGGACTACATTTGCTTTCTCTGGCTTGCTTGTCCATGGTTCTGGACTAAGTTTTTCGCACAGTGCAACATCTCTTTCAAGCAGATCTTGGTGCTGTCTGTACAGTTCTCTAGCAAGGTGGTTGGGGCTCTGACGCTCTGTCTGTTTTTTGTTCTCTCTTGAAATTTAAAATGCAGTGGGTGACTTTGAAGTCTTTTTAATTTCTCATACTGTAAAAGATTTTTGTATTGTCTTCTGAGTTCGAGTGGTTCAGTATCTGCTATCTTTTCTATTTCTCTGATGGGTGTGGTTTTCATGGCTCCGAGAACAATCCTTAATCCCATATTCTGAACCTTGTCCAGTTTTCCCATTGTTGTCTTGGCTGCTGCAGCCCATGCAGTGGAGGCATAATCCATGACTGGCCTGACTGCTCCAGTATATACTTGTTTTAGGATTCTAGAGTTAGCGCCCCATGTGGTACCCGCTAATTTTTTCATAACTGCAAGCTTCTTGAATGCTTTTCCCTGTACTGCTTCTACATGTGACTTCCAAGTTAGTCGCGAATCAAGTGTAACGCCCAGAAAGGTAGGAGTGTCAGTCTGTGGAATGAGCTGGTTTTTAATCCAAATTTCGATTTTTTTCTTTTTTTGGGGAGAGAGAGAAAAGTGATGCTGTGCTTTTTGATTTATTTAGCTTTAGACCCCACTTTTCGGTCCAGGCTTCTACATTTTCCACAGTTTTTTGTAACAGATATGAGGCTGTGGTAGTGTATTCGGAGGCTGTCCAAACTGCAAAGTCATCGGCATGTAGGGTATTAAAAACGTGCTGGTGGCAGGTTGCTGTGATATCATTAATGTAAACCAGGAATAGAGTTGGTGATATAGCACTGCCCTGGGGAACTCCTTCTTAAAGTTTTGCCAGTTTGCCAATGTGTCCATCAATTCTGAATCTGGCTCTGCGTTGGAAAAGAAAGTCTTTGATCCACTTGTACATGTTGTGCACAACTCCTGCCTGTAGCAGTTTTAGTTGTAGGCCTTCTTTCCAAACTGTATCAAAAGCACGAGAGAGGTCAAAAAAGACAGCAAGAACTTTCTTTTTTTCCTGGAAGGCATTCTCAATTTCCTGTGTCAGATATGTCAACTGGTCCTCTGTATTTCTGTGCTGTCTGTATCCTGTCTGGGTGGTGGTGATTACAGAGTTTGTCTCCAGGAACCATATTAGTCTTTTATTTACTAATTTCTCCATCAATTTTCCTACACAACTAAGAAGGCTAATAGGTCTGTAGCTTTTTGGGTCTCTTCTGTCTCCACCCTTTTTAAGGATAGGCTGGATGAGGGCTTCCTTCCAGGCTGACGGTACTACCCCTTTTTGCCAGCTCTGGTTGTAGATGCAGAGGAGAAACTTCTTGGCAGCAGGTCCAAGATGAGAGAGAAATTCGTTTGTAATGCCGTCAGCCCCTGGGGCTTTCTTCATTTTCAACTCTCCAATTCCAACTTCCAGCTCTTGCATAGTAAACCTTTCTGACATGCAGGCCTCTTTTGTTTTTGTGCTAAAGTCTGTTAGAAGAGTCTTGGTCTGGTTTCGTACTTCTTTTATTCTTTGCATGGGAATATGAACCTCAGTTTCCTTCTGGTGTGTTTCGGCTAGCACATCTGCTGCTACCTTGCCAGTAAACGATCCATCGTCTGTTTGGAGTACAACTCTGGCTTTTTCCGTCTTGTCTCCATTCAAGCTTTTTGTGAGATTCCACAGACGTGAAGTGTCCTTCTCGAGGTTAAATGACGCTGTCTTTTTGTGCCAGCTTTTCCTCATCTGATTATTTCTCTCTCTGACGAAGGCTGCTTTTGCTCTGTTATGAAGTATTACATTTTTATCTGTCGGATCCTTCTCCATATTTTCCCTCCTGGTACTAAGTTTGGAATGAAGAGTGTCCAGTTCAGGCGACCAGTAAGGTTTAAAGTTTTTCCTGCTGCCTCGTGGTATGTTACCCTTGGCTGCATTTAGAATAGTTGTGTTGAGGATCTTCAGTTTGGCATTTATTTCCAGTCTTCTGAAGAAGACTCTCCTCAACATGTCGTCTAAATAGGAAGTGAAAAGGCTCCAGTTAGCCTTCTTGTAGTTCCAGCTGGGAGGGTTCTTTTCCTTAGTAACTTCTCTCCTTTTGTTAATAGAAAGGATTACGGGCCTGTGGTCACTGCCTCCAAGCTGTTGACATACATCCCGGCTGGTAACTTTCTCCACATCTTCAGTTGCTATAGCCAAGCCAGGAGTGCTGGTTTTCCTCCAAACTCGAGAGTAGAATGTGTCTGGGTCGTCACGATGATTTATCAGAACTAGAGTGTTGCTAATTATCCAGTTTTCTACCTCTTCTCCTTTCGCATTGAGGTCTGTGTAGCCCCAGCTAGGTGAGTGGCTATTTAGATCTCCGACAGCAATCCAGTTTTCTGTGTTTAGTAGGATGGGTCCCAGATTAATATCTCTGTTTGGTGGTGAGTAGATGTTGCATACTGCCACATCTCTCCTTGCACCCTTGATAGTGACTGTGATAAACTCGGTATCCCCACACTGAGATCTCTGGGTTTCCCAAGCTGTGATCGTGTTCTTGACAGCAGTCAAGACTCCTCCTTTTGGACGATCTAACCTGTCGTGTCGGAAGATAGAGAATCTGTGTGCACTTGTGAGGTGAGTCTCTTGGATGCAGCATATGTCAATATCGTGCTGCTTCAAGAAATTGTGTAGTTCAGTTTTCTTCAGCCTCACTCCCTCAGCATTCCAGTGCATAATTGTCAGTTTGTGTCCAGTTGCATTACTCTGTTCTTCCCTGGTCACTCCAGAATATTCAGAGGTTGTGGCTCTAGTAGCTTGGGGTGGGCCCCCTCGAGGCTGAGGGCCCGGCGCCATCCCTACCCGTCCACGTCCCATAGGAATGACACCATAACGTGATAATTTTGTTTGCATGACCATATCGCTAGTGCGTAGATGCCCGATTTTTAGTCCCGTGCCAAGTAGGCTGACATCTTCCGACTTCGACGGTTGAGGTTTTTTTCAGGATTTCCCCTCCCATAGGCTGATTGCCTTCCAGGGCTTATGAGCTCTGCCTACCCACATTTTCTGTCGGGCTTTGTTGCCCTAGCCTTTGTTCTTACAGGAACTTCCCACAAGGCAGTGGTGGTTTGGCATTCGGTGTGTCCTTCACGTAGATGAATTGCCTTTCAGGGCTTTTGAGCTTCATCTGCCCAGGCCTCAGTCATCAAAACAGTAGAGACCAATTCAAAGTTTTTCACTTATGCACTGGACACAGCAGACTCAACAAATGCTCATAAAGATTTGGTATGAGCCAAACAGCTCTCTGACAGCATCTTACTGCAAACTCAACAAACACACACATAAATTAGGTATGAGCCACACAGCTCTCTGACAGCATCTTACTGCGAACTCAACAAACACACATATAAATTAGGTATGAGCCACACAGCTCTCTGACAGTGTCTTACTGCAAACTCAACAAACACACATATAAATTAGGTATGAGCCAAACAGCTCTCTGACAGCATCTTACTGCTGACTCAACAAACTCTAATATAGATTTGGTATGAGCCACACAGCTCTCTGACAGTGTCTTACAGACTCTAGATCATGACTGGCAAGACTGCTCACTTGGTGGAGCTGCGAAACAACCTGTGGCCACGCCCAGTAAAACTGACAACTAAGCTTTGGGGAAACCTAAGAGACCTTGAGATGATGTCCCAGTTTATGGCTCACAGTGGCTTAAGATCAGAGATTGCTGAAGAATAATAATAATTTGGTAATTTTCCTGTATGTTCTATCTAGGGCTGTACCGAATATTTGCTTCGTAACTGTTAGCCTCGTCAAGTAAGAACTTATAATTAAAGGCAATGCGTTATTTTTTTTTTTTGTAGCTTGTGTGTGTGTGTGTGTGTATGTGAGTGTGTGTGAGTGGGTCTCTGTGAGAGAGAGAGAGAGAGAGTGAGTGAGAGAGAGAGAGAGAGAGGGGGGGGGGAGAGAGAGAGAATTCGTGCATTTTTCGTTATTTCAGGGTGTCTTCCCCCAAATCAAATTTGAAGATATTGCTAACGAGAATATGAACGTGCGTTTAAATTACATTGAACGAACAGCAGAGCGAACGATGGTTTTGAAAGAGGCGGGAGCCCGAAGACAACTAATCAGAGGAGACAGTCGTCATTTTTGGGGCCATTTTATGAGAAGAGGGAAAATAGAACATGTGGTGACCACAAGAAAGATCTGTGGAAGGAGGGACAGAGGGAGACAACGAGAGAAGATTCATGACAGTCTTGTTGCATGGCATGGAGGTGTGTCAGCACACGGACTGATACATGCTGCAGGAGATCGCAGATTGTGGAGAGGCATAACGCCCATGCCAGTCGGCAAGGCACCTGATTGTGATGATACACTATTCGTATTCGGCCGAATAGTTCATCCCACTATTCGTATTTGGCCGATAGTGGAAATCACTATTCGGTACAGCCCTAGTTCTATCAAATACCTGTACCTCTTCCCCATCTCTTGATTCTGCCAATGACTGTTTATTTATACAATTTTTGTGGTGTAGGACTGTGCAGGTTAGGATATTATTTTTGCCCCCGACAGGAAAAAATCCAGGCTTACTGAGGATTTGAACCCGGGTCTCCCACATGAGAGCCCAGTATTCTAACCATTCGGCCAGCCGCTCTTTTCTTCTGATTCAATTACAGTTAATGAGTTCTCTCCTAAAGCTTCTCTGATTATGTCATGAGAAGGAGGAAACAAGTACATTGTGACAGTGGCAAAGCTGGAGGGACAGAAAGGCAGAGGGAGACAGAGAGAAGATGCTGGGCAGTTTGAGACATCATGGTATCGAGGATCATCTATGTCAGAGCTGACAAAGCACACGAGGCAGATGTCGTGGATAGACATAACTACCAATTCCATATGGTATGGACTCCACATTACTGATTCTGTCATGTTTCTTTTTCTTCTTCTTCTCAATTATCCTTCAACAGGACATTTGGGACATTTCTGGTTCACAGCTAGGCTGCAATATATGTACCTTTTGGCCCAAGAAATCTGACTACAGCAAATCTATAATCAGTCACTTTTTTTTCTAACGATATGCTTGTGGCAGCAGATCTTTTCTTCTCCCCCGACCCCCAACCACACAGTGCCCTGAATGGCATACCATTTCATTCCGATTCTCTCTATTTCATTACCAAAGAGTTTAAAGGACCCCTTTCAATGCCTCCAGGTGTAATGGGCATATAGAGCTAGTCCTATATATTATATACCAATCAGCACTCTGTGCGTGATGTGGTCAGCATCACGTAGGCCACCTTTACTTTATAGGACTTTTACCTGGTACCTATTTAAAGTTGGGTCACCCTGGCAGCCAATGTCATTTTAAGGGGAAAAAATCCAGCACTGCTCAAATCTGAACCCATGCCCTTCAGATCCGCAGGCAAGCGTCTAGTTACTACACTATTGCAGCTTCCCCAAAGATGTTTAAAGTCAAAAAAATGATTACCTCACTATTCCTTCGTCTAAACCTGAGAAGTGAGACAGGTATGGTCGGAAAATACCCCCAGCTCCATTACTGGTTGTATCCTTGCCAAATTTATCTGCAATAATTGTCACTTTTGCATGTGGTATCAGCTTCTGAATATTAACAGCCGAAGACAAACCGACTGCTCCAGCTCCAATTACACCTACTCGAACCATAGCTATTGCCTGGTTTCTGTATAGAAACAAAATATAGCTTTTTATACAGATGTAAGTATTAATAAATACCCAAACATCAAAACTGAAACCAAAACAACTGACAAAGACTATCACAGTTACACTGTGGGCAATACAACACGTGTAGATTACAAAGAGAACATCACAGAAATACAAAGTTACGTATCCTGAAACTCTCCGGGAATTTAACCGGGTCAATTAATGCTTAGGAAAGTTGGATATGTCAGGGAGAATCACAAACATTGCAGCTATGTTATAAAAAGGCATAACTTTATGTCACTCAAGACAAATGAAAAGGTACTACTGTGAGAATTACTTAAATACTACTATTGCTGGTACAATAACTAATAACGCACTACTACCACCACTAATATAATTACTATCACTATGACTACTGCTACAATTACTAGACTACCCTACCATAACAACTACTACTACTACAGCCATGACCTCTAATATAATTACTATCACTATGACTACTGCTACAATTACTATACTACCCTACCATAACAACTACAACTACTACAGCCATCACCTCTAATATAATTACTATCACTATGACTACTGCTACAATTACTAGACTACCCTACCATAACAACTACTACTACTACAACAAACACCACTAATATAATTACTATCACTATGACTACTGCTACAATTACTAGACTACCCTAGCACAACATTTACTACTATTACAACCACCACCCCTACTATTACTACTGCTACTATTGTTCTGCTACTGAGACAATATAACTCTCACTATAATCATACGTGTGTACACTTACAACACTGCACAACTAAGACAAATGACCAGTGTCAGCACTTCTGCCTTATCTCCTTTGACAGAGGTACAAAGAAAAGGATCAAAATAAAGATAAGGTATTATGACGTGCCACATTTATAGACAATATTGTTTATCTAAACAACTAGTGTGAGGCTTCACTGCAAGCACATGTAGAACTAACTTCAAAGACAAGCTGGCAATAACTTGTGTTGACAAGCAGAAAGATAAATTAACTATACTTGAGGGGAAGAAGTCACAACAATTAGAGGTTAACTTTCAAAAAGAAAAGACAAAGTTAATCTTCTTCGCATTCACCAGCTGTAAGCTCTGATGGAAAGTTCTAGATGTTCATCCACTTCCTGATTTTAGTCTTATTCCAGATCCTGAGTTGTGTGCACATCTGTTTCACATATCTGGCTTATTTGCATGCAGACTCCTCACTCCTTGTCTCTCAGGCAGATGTACTCTGACTTTAAAGGACAAATTGGTGAACCCCTAATTGGAGAGGCAGTTGTTTCCCCCAAAACAGGGTCCTGAAAACCACATAGAGAACAAAGAAAAGAAATCAACTAAGTTACTTTGAGTCAAGAACTGACATCACAGCACTCAAGACACTCCCAGCTCCGTCAACTTCAGCAGCCAGCAAAATATTTCCACCAGCAGCAATTTGAGAATAGACCCATTTTGCCTTTCCTCCCAATACAGAGTGTCTGCCAGATCTCCTGGTCACTGCCCGAAGATACCTTCACTCCACACTATAATCTATTTGTGCTTCAACATTGTCCACCTGATTATAAAGGGCGGTGACTACGTCTTCCTTGTTATGCATCAATTCAACACCTGTGGCGCATCATCAGCATCTTTGTTCTCAACACACCCGCATGCATGCCCTAAAATAAAATATCTAAAGGATGCTGATAACTACTGAAGTCATATAAATCAATATTATATGGGTTATTCGATGGAAATAACTTCAAAAGGTGCAGTCATATGCATATTTATGTGTCAATTAAGAAAATGATGGGGAACTACATTTGATAGCCCATTCTGTGTCGAATGTTGATGGATTGTGATTAGAGTTAGTGACCCTGAGGATGTAAGCCAGTGGTTCTCAATCTTCATAATGCCGCGACCCTTTAATACAGTTCCTCATGTTGTGACAACCCTTTAATACAGTTTCTCATGTTGTGGCAACACTTTAATCCAGTTCCTCATGTTGTGACAACCCTTTAATACAGTTCCTCATGTTGTGACAACCCTTTAATACAGTTTCTCATGTTGTGACAACCCTTTAATACAGTTTCTCATGTTGTGGCAACCCTTTAATACAGTTCCTTATGTTGTGACAACCCTTTAATACAGTTTCTCATGTTGTGGCAACCCTTTAATACAGTTTCTCATGTTGTGACAACCCTTTAATACAGTTTCTCATGTTGTGACAACCCTTTAAGACAGTTTCTCATGTTGTGACAACCCTTTAATACAGTTTCTCATGTTGTGGCAACCCTTTAATACAGTTCCTCATGTTGTGGCAACCCTTTAATAGTTTCTCATGTTGTGGCAACCCTTTAATACAGTTCCTCATGTTGTGACAACCCTTTAATACAGTTTCTCATGTTGTGGCAACCCTTTAATACAGTTCCTCATGTTGTGACAACCCTTTAATACAGTTCCTCATGTTGTGACAACCCTTTAATACAGTTTCTCATGTTGTGGCAACCCTTTAATACAGTTTCTCATGTTGTGGCAACATTTTAATACAGTTCCTCATGTTGTGACAACCCTTTAATGCAGTTTCTCATGTTGTGGCAACACTTTAATACAGTTTCTCATGTTGTGGCAACCCTTTAATACAGTTTCTCATGTTGTGGCAACCCTTTAATACAGTTCCTCATGTTGTGACAACCCTTTAATACAGTTTCTCATGGTGTGGCAACCCTTTAATACAGTTCCTCATGTTGTGACAACCCTTTAATACAGTTTCTCGTGTTGTGGCAACCTTTTAATACAGTTCCTCATGTTGTGACAACCCTTTAAAACAATTTCTCATGTTGTGACAACCCTTTAATACAGTTCCTCATGTTGTGACAACCCTTTAATACAGTTTCTCATGTTGTCAAAACCCTTTAATACAGTTTCTCATGTTGTGGCAACCCTTTAATACAGTTTCTCATGTTGTGACAACCCTTTAATACAGTTCCTCATGTTGTAGCAACCCTTTAATACAGTTTCTCATGTTGTAGCAACCCTTTAATACAGTTCCTCGTGACAACCCTTTAATACAGTTTCTCATGTTATGGCAACCCTTTAATACAGCTCCTCATGTTGTGACAACCCTTTAATACAGTTTCTCATGTTGTGGCAACCCTTTAATACAGTTCCTCATGTTATTACAACTCTTTAATACAGTTTCTCATGTTGTGGCAACCGTTTAATACAGTTTCACATGTTGTGACAACCCTTTAATACAGTTCCTCATGTTGTGACAACCCTTTAATACAGTTTCTCATGTTGTGGCAACACTTTAATATAGTTTCTTATTTTGTGGCAACCCTTTAATATAGTTTCTCATGTTGTGACAACCCTTTAATAGTTTCTCATGTTGTGACAACCCTTTAATACAGTTCCTCATGTTGTGAAAACCCTTTAATACAGTTTCTCATGTTGTGGCAACCCTTTAATACAGTTTCTCATGTTGTGACAACCCTTTAATACAGTTCCTCATGTTGTAGAAACCCTTTAATACAATTTCTCATGTTGTGGCAACCCTTTAATACAGTTTCTCATGTTGTGGCAACCCTTTAATACAGTTTCTCGTGTTGTGGCAACCCTTTATTACAGTTTCTCATGTTGTGGCAACCCTTTAATACTGTTTCTCATGTTGTGGCAACTCTTTAATACAGTTTCTCGTGTTGTGGCAACCCTTTAATACAGTTTCTCGTGTTGTGGCAACCCTTTAATACAGTTTCTCATGTTGTGGCAACCCTTTAATACAGTTTCTTATGTTGTGGCAACCCTTTAATACAGTTTCTCATGTTGTGGCAACCCTTTAATACTGTTTCTCATGTTGTGGCAACTCTTTAATACAGTTTCTCGTGTTGTGGCAACCCTTTAATACAGTTTCTCATGTTGTGGCAACCCTTTAATACTGTTTCTCATGTTGTGGCAACCCTTTAATACAGTTCCTCATGTTGTGACAACCCTTTAATACAGTTTCTCATGTTGTGAAAACCCTTTAATACAGTTCCTCATGTTGTGAAAACCCTTTAATACAGTTTCTCATGTTGTGGCAACCCTTTAATTCAGTTTCTCATGTTGTGACAACCCTTTAATACAGTTTTTCATGTTGTGACAACCCTTTAATTCAGTTTCTCATGTTGTGACAACCCTTTAATACAGTTTTTTCTCATGTTGTGACAACCCTTTAATACAGTTTCTCATGTTGTGGCAACCCTTTAATACAGTTTCTCATGTTGTGGCAACCCTTTAATACAGTTTCTCATGTAGTGGCAACCCTTTAATACAGTTTCTCATGTTGTGGCAACCCTTTAATACAGTTTCTCGTGTTGTGGAAACTCTTTAATACAGTTCCTCATGTTGTGACAACCCTTTAATAAAGTTTCTCATGTTGTGGCAACCCTTTAATACAGTTTCTCATGTTGTGGCAACCCTTTAATACAGTTTCTAGTGTTGTGGCAACCCTTTAATACAGTTTCTCATGTTGTGACTACCCTTTAATACAGTTCCTCATGTTGTGACAACCCTTTAATACAGTTTCTCATGTTGTGACAACCCCCTTAATACAGTTCCTCATGTTGTGACAACCCTTTAATACAGTTTTTCATGTTGTGACAACCCTTTAATACAGTTTCTCATGTTGTGACAACCCTTTAATACAGTTTCTCATGTTGTGACAACCCTTTAATACAGTTCCTCATGTTGTGACAACCCTTTAATACAGTTCCTCATGTTGTGACAACCCTTTAATACAGTTTTTCATGTTGTGACAACCCTTTAATACAGTTCCTCATGTTGTGACAACCCTTTAATACAGTTTCTCATGTTGTGGCAACTCTTTAATACAGTTTCTCATGTTGTGACAACCCTATAATACAGTTTCTCATGTTGTGACAACCCTTTAATACAGTTTCTCATGTTGTGGCAACCCTTTAATACAGTATCTCATGTTGTGGCATCC